CCCCCCCCCCCCTGTTTAATAAACATTTAACACCTGGGTGTAATTTGCAAATCTTCAACTTAAAAAAAAGAAGAGAAAATTAAATTTTTCTTTAATTATTAACTTGTTGTTGATTTAAAATATTAGTCTAACTTTAATTTCAGAAGAGTACTTATTTATTTATAAATGGTTTTAAAAATTAAAACAAGAAAAGTACATTTTTAAAAAATTATTTTTTTTCCTTGTTACTATAAAAGTAGTTTGCTTAATTTTCGCATTTTTTTTTTTTAATCACGTATATTGTTTGCGTTTTTCGAAAAATATAATAAAATCTTCCCCACAGTTAAGATTTCCCAAGGTTTTGCCTGATTTTCAAAATTATTCCCCAGATCCCAAGGGGGGTCATGAATTCCCAAGATCTTGGGAAATTTCCCAAGGTGTGGTAGCCCTGTCAAAGATACGTTATAAAAGTTGCCCAATTGGATATATTTAGATTTAAAATTTTTTAAAAAATTTTATAGATCTATCTACTTGGTCTAATATTTCTTTCTAGTAAATTATAGCCCACAGGATCCATGCACAGCAATGTAAAGGTGGTACTCGCAAAGGGACCTCAATATCAGGGGGCGCATTCGCCCAGGGCGCTGCTTTTCCTTTGCACGGTTGTGCATCCATTACGGACGTAACGCGGCTAGAATTTTGAGGGTGGGGGTTTTGTGGGAAATATTTGTTAAAACTTTAAATAAAATTGTAAATTTCCTTTCTTAAAATTTGTGACAGTTTCGATTTCTTTCTCAATAAATTGCTGGTGATTTAATAAGACTAAGAGGCAAAAAGCGGGAAAGTAATGAAATATATGTCAGTAGCGAAATAAACACCATTGCAAACAGATGACTAACAAAGCAATTTGGTTCCATCCAGATACATAAAATCACTAACACTGCCTCTCATTTTACTCACCACAAACCAGAGTCAACTTAGGTGGCATCTAAATAATTAAGTGCCATCTATCAAACTAGAGCTGACCAACCACAGACCATTTAAATAGCTTATTTGCCTACTATGACTCACAATTGTAGAGAAAAAGTCAATCCACTTGCATAGGAAGGGGGCTGTGGAGGGGGTGGTCCACACAGGTGCCACTTTTTTTTTTTATTTATATTGAGGGGCGGCATTTTCGGCGAGCTGAAGAGGTTTTTTTTTTGTTTTGTTTTTTTAAACTTAGTGGTAGTGGGTGGCACAACTTTCTAGTTAACATATCGCAACATAACCCCTGGTCCGCTCGAAACGTTTCCCAGATCTGCTCATTATGAGGACACGTTGGTCGCTCTCTCAGTCTCTGTTGTTGGTGGAATTCTATTACGTAGCCGAGTCTCTCACTTCGCACCTTTTTTTGCCCATGCGCCGTTTCCCTGGTCTGGCCTGCTGATTACCGAAGTCATTCTCTGATACACTAAAGTAATACGTCGGCATAGCTAGAGCGACGTGGCCTCCACGGTCTTGCCATGTTTCTGTTTAGTTAGGCTGTGGGCAGCAACGCAGTCGCCGCGGCTTACCCATGTATAGGTTTACTTTAAGCAGATTTCTGATCGTTAATGCTGCATACATTTTATGGTTTGTGTCCGCTGCGGTGGCCGCGCAAATGAACGCAGGACAATTAAGCCCACAACTCACCATAACACATCCAAACACAGGACTAGTGAACCAACGGACAAGTTAACACCCAGAAAAGTGAATACCGGTATATAGAACATAGACAGCTGAACCCAACAAGTGGGTTAGAATAGGCCTTGCTGAGATAATCGTCATTCTTGACTTGTTCTTGTAAATTTATTTTCACTGCTAATTCGCAATGATTGGTTCCGAAAGATTTCAGCTTCTTTTATAAATATGTAAATGTTTTTAATGTGCTGAAAATTATTTTACAAAATTGTGTAAATAACCATTTTTATTATATTTCTTGGGCAGATTTTTGTTTCCTAAACTGAGTCTATTGATTTCTTATTAAAAAACATTAACATGTTCTACAATATTGTTTAGGAAAAACAGTCAGTGCCCGAATGTATGACTCCCAGTGCCAAGGAAAAGGTTTAAAATTGGTGGTTTTGTTCTGACTAAACCAAGCTCTCTAGAGGAATAGTTGAAATTAATTCATTATGAATGAAATTTTCATTATTTAGAATACCTAATTAATTCATAAAGTACTGTGGGATTAAATCTTTTAACTTAAACAATACACCTAAATAATCTTAAATAAAGGATTTAATTTTAATAATTAAATTAATAGTATTACTTTTCTAAAATTCAAATGAAAACAATAAATGTATTTAAATTATCTTCATTACCGGTACTAGATTTAAAAAAAATAATAATTGATCTACGAAAATGGCTTACACTAAAAAAAGAAAATAAGAAAGAAAAAAATCTACCGGTACTAAGAGAAATTAACAAAGTAAAAATAAAAAAAAAACAACTAAAAATAATAAAACTATGAATCAATGAAATAACAAGGAGAAAAAACAATTTTTAAAAATAATTCTCATACTATTATTGTTATCACACCCGGCTCCGAAGCCATTTAATATGTACGGAGCCACTCCGGGTGTGAAAAGTCATTGGCGACCATAGGTACCCGGGTACCTATAGATGCAGCCTATTTCATTTGATACCAATGAGCGATTCTCAGTGCATGTTACAGTTTTAAAATACTAAATACATTTACCTATTCAATTTATTTGTTTTTGTTCTCGTCATAGTTATATTGTGGATTTTATTTTAACAAGATGAAATCTACCGTGAAAGTCAAGGGGGAAAAAAAGTGTGTGTGTGTGTATACATTTACCTATTCAATTTATTTGTTTTTGTTCTCGTCATAGTTATATTGTGGATTTTATTTTAACAAGATGAAATCTACCGTGAAAGTCAAGGGGGAAAAAAAGTGTGTGTGTGTGGGGGGGGGGGGGGGGGGAGGGTGACAACATGTGATACCAACCTTAAAATAGCTACGCCACTAAGCGTACCAGAAGTTGACAAAACTTGGTTTAAAACTGGATGAGTTGACTTTCTAGGTAAGAAATCGTTATTAATGGATGTTTGGATCAAGTGCTGTCATTTGTGAGATGGAAAAAAACAAACAGAAGAAATGAAAACACATTCAATAAAATTTTCAGCCCCACCCCCAAAACTCAGGGGGTTTTTCTTCGCTTTGCGAGGGCCCGAGGGGGGAAGAGATGCAATGATTTCTTACGAATTTTTAAATAGTTATAGTTATAGCCGTCGCTAAGTCGCACAAAAATGCTGTAAAAGGGTTTACACGAAAAAAAGTTATTGGATGTTGTTTAATTCGTTTTAATTTATTTTATATATCAAAGAAAACAGCAATTGTTGATGTGAATTTATTAAGACTCCCCCTCCCACTTGTCAAAAATTTTCAAAGATAGTCTTATTATATTTTACTTTCGTCCCGTTATGCGAGTCCGCTATTGTTTTAAGCATGTGAAAGAACATTATAATTGATAAAATTGTTTTATACCAAACATCAGATGTTTTATTTGTTAGCTAGTACTGTTGTTAAAATTGACGTGGTATCGACACGAAATCTAAATTAGTCACATTGTGTAAGTGTAAGCATTAATAATAATAGCATTTAGTTTAGTAGTTTCTAAAGATAGATAATTTTTTTTAAACATTGTAACAATAAACTTGTAAATATTGACCAATGTGCCTAATATTCTAATTTTAATAAGTAATTTTAATTAATAATAATAATAAGCAGGTCTGCATAATAATAATAATAATAATAATAAAGTTCATTTCAAAAACACGCTTCATCCCCAAAGGCTCGAAGCGCGGTACAAAGTCAACAAAAAATATCTATAATTCACCACATTTAAAACAAACGCAACACTACAAAAACTAATTACAAGCATACAATATCAAAGTCTTTCTAGCCATTTCAACCCGGAGCAACACAGCATCAGCAACACATGGAAAATAAGGTAGACAATCATCCCAGAAGGTATTTGCGAAATAGATGTGTCTTTAGATCGGTTTTAAAGGACTCCAGTGTCTGGTTGTTTCTAAGATGGACAGGAAGGGCGTTCCAAATTGTTCCAAATTGCATACACATGATACACTGTATGATGTATGTGTATGAGTATGAATCATACTATGAAACACATCACAGATCTAGATTTAACTAATTTAAGTTCAAAAATTACTAAGTATTAGACTACTTAGACTTTAGACTCAGACCTAGCCTAAAATTGATTTGGGCCATTTTTTTTACATAAAAGAATAGTAGATTAGTAGCCTATGCACTGGGCCTGGGTGTCAAACTCCCAATATTTCTGAATAATGATTGGTTTACTTCATCAGGTTCTTTTACACATTGATTGTTCATCATCATCATACTTAGTATAGTCATAGGTCGTAATAACTAATAACATTGAATTAACACAAGGTCCATAATTAATGCAACTTTAATATATAAATATATCAATAGACTGTACTTTTCTTTAAACGACACATGTATAGCGCAGCTCGCTATCAGAGAGAATAATACACAGCGTTTTCCTACAAAGTTATCTTCACGAATAAACACATATGTCTGAATTACCATTCAGGAATAAACACATACGTCTGAATTACCATATGTCACAAAACAGACTAGACTAGACAATACGTCATAATAACTAAAAAATATGTCACCAAGTAAAATGCGGGAAGAGCAATCACTAACTAATTACTCTGTCTAAAACACACTGCGTATAATTAAACACAATATCCAGTGCGTAACAATTATTAGTGAACTTCCATGCTCGACACTAGGGTTGCCAGATGGTATCCAAAAGAAGGACATGTCCTCATATGGCTTCCTTTTTTGGTTTTAAAAAACTGTTTGCCTTTATCATTGCACAGCAGATTAGAATAAAGAGGACGCTGTCTTTTTTTTTTTTTTAGAAATGCCACAAAACAATGAAAAATACAGACAAATAAAGAGATCTATAATGTGTTTCACCTAATGGGGAGAAGTGAATAGTGTATTGATATACAAGTAACAATCAAGCAGGTATCAAAGTTGAATGCTTTAAAATACTATTAAGTGGCTCTCAACCTTTTAACTGCCAGAGCCCCTTTACAAAATTTGCCAAGTTGTGGAGCCCCACACCAGGATTATACTGATAAATTGAGAAACTGAATAAGGGAGGGGGGGGCAGAGTTTTATTGTAGATAAAATGATCTTGGGACTGTAATTTTAATTGGTAACATGGGGGAGGATGGATGGAAGCATAAATAAGAGCCAAGTATGGAAGAGGCAGAGGGTCTGTAGACAAAAATGTTTTGATAAATTCACACATCAGGTTATGGTTTTGTGTGGAAGCTGCTAACATTTGTTTCAAATTTATGCAACAAAAAAAGGAAAAAAACAAAGAAAAAAAATAACAAGAAAATGTTTTAAAAAATGAAAAGAAATGGCCAAAAAATATATATAAAACTAGCTGCTGACATCTAGTAATGAAAAAAAAAAAGTTAATTTTAATTTATTATGTACCTATTCTACATAGTCAGAGTGGAGTTACAAATAGAACTAGTCTGATCACTGTTAATAATATTTAAATATTAAAATGAAAATTCAAATAAGAAATAATGCACATTTTACACATAAAACCCCCCTCACGTTTCTAAAATAAAATTCTGAAGTGACCCCTGACAATTTGTCGGGCAACCCCTGAGAACTTAGAAACGATCCACGCAAAAAAAGAACAACAAACAGAAATCTTTGGGTACTCAGTCTTATCACTCAGTAAGCATGTGAATTGAAATATTAATTGTAAATTAAAAGTGCCATGGTCATAGTCATAACTAAAGATGTGCAAATAATTAAACAAAATTCCCAACAAGTACATTATTAGTTTTATAGCTTTTCATTTTCATTTAGCTTACATTCTCCTTCACAAAAATTGGTACCATAACCTTTTAAAAAAAAACAAGTTTTGTGAAAAATAGTTTAGTAATTAACAATAGTTGATCTCAAGTTTTTTTTACAGCTGACCCTTTAAGAAGGGTATAATTTTTATGGCAATCATAAAATTTCAGTCAAAGTTTAACTAGTTTTTGGTACTTTGTCTTTTTTGGGTTGTGACTTAGTTCATGAGATGGTATTCCCTGAAGGCCCGATGGATGATTGGAAAGATGGCGTAAAGTGTTGTTAAGAAAGCATTCATGCTTCACTCATACAGCGAAATGAGAAGGACTCAAATGTTGTGATATTAAAAACATGCTATGCTTATTCAGCAATTTTTCTTTATGGAATCATTTAATTCCCATACCCATACAAAAAGTCAAAATAAATTTTTATTTTAAAGTCTGTGCTATACTTATGGAGTTACAAAAATTATATTGAGACATTGTCAGCATTTTTTAGTATTAAACTTTATGTTTTATCTATTCTGCAGGTTAAAAAGATTTAACTTACAAGATATGTCTGAGTCAGAGGAAGAGGCAGCCTTTGCCAGTGCTGACGAAGGGGAGGAAGGAAAGGCTCGAGGCAAGAAAGATTTGAAAGAAGGTAAAGTGACAATAAAAAAAGAATTTTTGCCCCTCAATTATACCTAATATAGTGAAACTTGTGATTAACATAAATCCTCCAGACCAAAACAAAATGATACTTTTTTGCAAAAATGGTGCTTTCACTAGTTCATCCCAAATGATGACCATGCTCAATAATTTTTATAAAAGAAGTTAGCAGATTGAACTTATAAAACAAAATATGCATATTTTTCTTAACACCATCAAAAAATAATGAAACTAGAAATTATTTCATTTTCCTTAAACATTCTGCATCAGTGACCACAATCTGTGGGTTGTGATCCCCTCGGGTGTCGCCTTGCAATATGCCAGGAGCTGCTTCTGATAATACTTCTTTTTTTTTTGTTCCACCTTTCATTTTAAGATTTAAATATCATTTTCTGTGATGAGGAAGTTTCTAATTATTACTACCATTTCTTTTCAATAAAAAAAACTTACATTACATGAAGACAAAAAATGTGTATACTCTATATTCCTTTGTGGTGGGTTTTTTAAAAAGTTTATTGAAAGTTTTTTACTGATATTTTTCGTAATTTTTACTTTTCATTTTAAAATTGGCCCTACACACTTAAAAGTATACTTTTTAATTTTTTTATAGTCCATTTTTTCAATATTTACGCTATTTAATATGAATTAAATGTTCATGATAAGGATTAAATAAATTTTAATTTATAAAATATTAATAATATAAAACCCGCCCTCCCAAAATTTTCAGTAAGAGTTTTTTCATTTCTAGGCATAATCCACTGAATTACATCAACATTAAAAGTTGAGTAATTGACAGTGTGTTGCGAATATCCAAACTTAGAATATATGTAAATTCATATTGTGGCAAATATTACGTTGTCTAGGGGTAGGTTTCCCTTTGTTATGGCCACAGAAAACAATTGCAGAGTCAAAAACTCCTTTCCTTGTAGCCCCTTCAGAGCTGATGCATCGTAAGATTCAAATAGCAAAAAAGGGTTCAAAAGGCTCAGGTTTCGAATTCATGACATTCTAAAATGTATAAGAAATAAACACTTATAAGAAATAAACACTGGTGTTCACAATAGACGTGTCCAAAAATCCTAAACACTAAATTCACTCCTAGCAAAAATATAATACTAATTCTCTCCTGGCTAAAATACAATACTAATTCTCTGCTGTCAAAAATACAATACTAATTCTCTCCAGGCAAAAATACCACATATATCTCTAAGCGAAAATTCTAAGTGTCTCTTTTGCTCAACAAAAATGTACACAACCTTTATACTCAGGTTTTTAATCATCGCCTTGACACTGTCATAAGTGGCTGTCATATGTCTTGCTATGACCATGTGTTTACAAATTTGAACAGAAAAGACACAGTTCATCCTAATCCTTATTCTGGTTATGGCATTTGCCAGAGACTATGGTATTTCAACATTCAATATTCACATTAATCTAAATAAATTTAAATCATGTTTTCACAACATTGTAATATGTTTTAAAAAGAATAACATTAATTTTTATCTTGTACAGAGGAAGAGCCAAAACAAAGGGAGGGTGTTGGAACAGATGGGGATAAAAAATTGACTATCCAGCAAGATGCCGCCAAGGTTGGTGGAATAAAAGGGAAAGGCAAGCAGCAACCAGCACAAAAGAACAAGAAAAAAGGTGCTTAATTAATTAAATAGCATGTGTTAAAGATAAGGTTATTTATCAGGAAAATATAAAGATAACATCTTGAAAATTTTGACTTGCTTATTTGTGAAATTTCTTACATTTGTCACAAGGGAGAGTAAGCAGTAATCTCAGCAACAACAAAAAGTGTGTGGGATGGGAGGGGGGGCTGGGGTTGAGTTTATCTGAAGATTGGGATAAATCAATCTTTGTCCACGATTGAACTGTTATTTAATTTTTTTTTTAGACTCGATGTGTGCGTTATATTTTTTAATCAAAAAAATTTCAATATACCCACAATGCTCCTAATTTATAAAGAATTTATAAAATACTCCACCTTGTCTTGTATTTCAAAATTATTTCAAAATTTTTACAGGTAGCAAGAGCAGCCAGCCACTTGCTAAAGAAACACAGCAACCTGTACCTAAACCAGTCAGCCCTCCGAAGTCATCTCCAGACCCACAGGCTATGTCTTCTACTTCAAGCGCTAAATCCACATCATCAGTGGAACCACCTGAAACTGATAAAGGGGCACCACTCAAAGCCACATCAGAACTTGTTTCTAAAGGGGGTAAAAAAGTAGTTGCCCAAAAAAGCAAAGAATCTATTAGTCAAGAAACATCCACAAAAATCAAATCAGAAACTTTACAGGAAGATCAGCCAACTGCATTGGAGGCAGGGTCTAGAAACTCGCTTGAAATAGAAAAAGTATTGAAGAATGAAACCGTTGAATCTCTGTCGACAGCTGTGACAAATACTGAAAATAACTCAGAAAAAGTTGAGACTAAGCAGGCAGCTGATGTGAGGAAAGGCTTGCAGTCAAGTATAGTACCAAGCCCAGAAAAGCAGGACATTCCCAGAGGGGAAAAGGATCACACAGCTCAGCAGGAAGAAGTTCTCAAAAAGCTCACAGAATCTGTTGAGAAGGTAATTTTAAAAAATGAATAAACAGGCCAGATTAATAATATTGGAAAACATTGAATTTAGAGCCCATCCTGAGTGCCTGCCATTATAAGCTTGCAAAGCAAATTGGTTGACAGGCATAAACTTATTTTGTATGGTATTTAAGAAGCTTGTAGTAATTGAACAACAAGTAAATCATTTAATTCAAAAAGTGTCTTCTAATATGAACTCTCGCCGTTTGAAATAGGATCCCCATTAAAAAGGGGCCATTTTAGTTATCTTTAGGATTGGGGAACTATACAAATCATTCAGATAAATATGCAAGTTAATTTTTCAAATGCATCCCATTAAAATGGGTAGAATTTGCAGAGTTGTTGCCTTTTAAACTTTCACTATTGGGGCCGCAGGCCTCAAAAGAACTTAATCTTTCATATTTTACAGCATTGAGTATTTTTAGGTTGGGTAACGAACAAACTTTATTTAAAATTAAATTGTCTCATTAAATTTGGTTGAAAACCGCAAGAGATAAAAATTGTTTTATTCAAAATAAAACTGGGTGCACCCCACCATCCCCCAACCTGCTCAAAAAGATGTGGATATTATAAGTTTGAAATCCACCAATATTTTAAAAGGGATTACGAAACATATGTTTACCAAATTTGGCCTAGATGTGACACTTTATGTAGAAGCTTGGATTGTAACGTAAGCTTTCTTGTGTAGCTTTTGCTGTTATAAGGAAAAGGCATTGTAGAACCTTCTACACTCATTTGGAACTTTCTAGAAACCTCAAAAATATCTTTAAATTTTATTTCTTAACATTTGAGGACAATCATGGACACTCATAGCAACATATGAAACATGAAAGTACATTTATGTAATCTTAAAACCCTTATAAAAAAATCGAACATGCTAGAATAAGAAGCTTCTAGAAACTTAAAAAAGATATATTAACCGAATCCAGGGAAATTCCCTGGAAAGTATATTGACATTTTTATAATCTATATACCTATGTGTAACAATATTGAATTTGCTGGAAAATTCTATAACTTTTTTAAAACCTCAAAAATTACTAACATGTGACTCTTTTTATGTAGTCATAATTAGTCAAGATTAAAATAACTAAAACAAAATGTCGTAACTCTATAGTTTTCCATTATCGTTCAAATAAGGTTCCCCAATGGGGACCCATTCTATAATGTGACATTTTAATTATCACCAAGATATGGACCATAAATTATTCATCAAATAAATAGCCAAGTAAAAATTTAAAAGTTGTCCCATTAATGTCGGTAGAAAAAAATAAGGAAATGAAATGAGCATCTTTGGCTCTGACATCATTGAATATTATGAGTTCAAAACCCTCCAGTTTTTCAATATAGATTTTCAAGTGTGTTTGTACCAAGTTTCATCTATCCATTAAGTTTATTTTATTTAAATACCTCATATACGAAAAAAGAACTTAATCTTTCATATTTTACCGCAATGAGTATTTTAGGTTTGATAATGAACAAATTTTATTTTAACAAATTCTCCCATTAAAATGGGTTGACAAGGGAACCCACTTTGACAAAAAATGTGAATATTATTATTTTGAAATCCACCAATATTTTAAAAAGGATAATGAAATATATTTTTACCAAGTTTGGTCTAGGTGCTACAATTATCATAGAAGCTTTCATTGTAACTCAGCCCTGGTGTATAGCTTTGGCTATCACAAGGAAAATACATTGTAGAAACTTATACACTCATTTTTGAGCTTAAAATCTTTGACCTAGAACCATTTGAGGAAAATTATACAGTCTTATAGAAACATAAAAGGAAATCTTTAAGTCTACCAATCAATATCTAATGTAGGTAAAAAAAAAAATTTAATAAACTTATTGTATTCCGAATTTAAGTACAAGTAAATAATTTAATTTAAAAAGTGAAATTTATTATTACATTTTAAGATTTTTTAAATAAAACTTTTGGGATAAGCGGTTAGGACCAAACTTTACAGGAACCATCTATAGGCCAGGGGGATGACCATGTAAGATTTGGTTGCAATCCATATTTTGGTTTTCTTGTGATCAATCAACCCATCTACAAACAAACAAACAAATATAGTCTCACTATATAGAATAGAAGTAGTTGCCTAAACTTGCGTCTCTGAAACGTTAATGTTAATACCCTAACAGGTACTATTTATATTTTTGTTAGGTAACACCCAATGGTATTTGTTTTAATAAAGATCTAATAGAGTTACACAAAATTATCTAGATTAGACAATAATAAAACACATATTATTTTTTATTTATAAGTATTTCAACGTGCATTAAAAATTAAAATATTTTTTTTTAAGACTTCAGAAGGTGGGTGGGGTTGGAGTAGCTGGGGCTCATCTATACTTACAGCTGCCACTCAGTCAGTACAGACATTCAGCCATCAAGTTGGTAAGTTGATTATGTTTATGATCAGGGTTAAACCAGTGACATATTACTTGTTCCAAATGTAAACTATTTATATTTATGACATTTCTCCAAAAAGCTTTACTTCTTTTCTTAATGCAGAAGTTTTGTCTTTTAAAAGAAAGTGCTTGGCCGCAGATGCATAATTTTGTCAAGCCTATCCAATATTTCAAAGCGCTCTTCCACAGGTGATGGCTTCTCCACAATTATAGACTCTGTAGAGTCATCACTGAGCATCCCTGATCCTGAAGAACTTGTGAGAGCTCAGGGGGTCACCGAGCCAACTCCTATCACCGAAGAGCCACCCACAGGTAGAAGCAAACAAATATCTTTACTTTAGCACGAGTTGCTGTCTAAATTACACACCAACATGGTAATCTAAAGCAAGACATGGAAGATTCAAAGGGATGTTTAGTGAAGATTTTTATAATTTTTCTATATTTTGAGGGCCCATGATCAAATAATTGATCATTCTGGATTCTGGTTTGAATTTAGAGTTTGCCTTCTCTTAGAAGAGTTGCCGTCCTAGGTTAATGAGTCCCATCCACCTGGATGAGGATGAATTAATTTGTTATAATTTTTTATCTAATTTTTTTTCAAAATCATTAATTTCAGCAATATATCTTTGTCTTGAATAGAGCATTATAGAAAACATGTCCAAATTATAAGAGCAGTTATTTGAGCAGTGCTCGAGTTCAATAAAATCATTTTGAGCTTCCACTTTTAAACAATTCTTTAAATTGTGCCACCTTAAAATAAAAAAAGTGTATTTGTGCCTACTATATTTGTGTGATCTTGTATTTCAGCTGTGGTTAGCCAACCAAATGAACTGAAAATGACAAGACAGTTTCAGGAGGAGAAACGCCAAGGAGAATTCAATTATGATAGAGATGATGATGATGATGATGAGGAAGTGAAGGATTGGAAGGGAGCGGAAGGGGACCAGCATAAAGAAGCTGGCGGCGGTGGATGTTTTTCAAGCTGGGGGGTTGCAGATTTAGCTAAGAAAGTTACAGACAAAGTAAGTAAATGTGCCATTATCGATTAAGTAAGAAGTAGATATTTGCTTCCCATCGGGTTTTTAAATTACTCTCTACTGAAACACCAGTCTAAATTTATAGCTTTTATGGTTTATGTATTACATTTAGCTGTTTTGTTGAATACCTCTGGAGAGGAAAGTTTATTAAAGGTACATAACATTATCATTATGAGTTAATGTAAGTCTATGTGTCCAAAATGATTAATGTACCGGGAATTTTATTTCAAGAAACATTTCAATCTTAAGTTTAACAAAATTCTGCAACATAAACATGTTGAGCTCATTGTAAAATTGTTTGTTTTTCTTATAGGGCAAGTCTTTGGCTTCTAAAGGGCAAACATTAATGGCTGGAGGATTTGATGCTGTAGAAAATCTGGCATCCAGTGGCATTGATGTACTGGAAAGTATTGGCAAAAAAACCTACAATACATTATCAGAACACGACCCAGCTTTCAGGAAAACGAGGGAATTCTTATCCCCTAAAGGAAATAAGCCGAACTTGTCCAGTGTCTTAAGGGATGCCAGGGACAAGGCAGAGCTTGAGTCTGAGCAGATCAAGGAAAACGAGGAAGCCAGGAAGGCTCATTTTGGAACTCTGTTTGATGATTATCAAGGTAGACATAAAAAAACATCCACAAAGCTCCATTTAAGGTTAATCTTCTAATGAAATATCCACTCCAAACCAATGTGAATTTTGACTCACATTGTTGTGCCTGAGTCGATTAGTAAAAGGGACACACTTCGTGATGGAAACATTTTTATTCAATTTGACATTTATTGATGGCATTGTAATTTTAAACCAAGAATTATATAAATGATCTCTGAAACTTTATAACATCTAACTCTTAATTATAATACAAAATGTAATGTGCTATAAAAAAAATATGTAATCTTCCATTTATTTATCTTTCCATTTCACATAGTGTTTGCACAAAAAAATATACCAATTAAAACTCATTAGATTTTAACTAATCACCAATTCAGGAATAGCTCACTTAGAAGCCCTGGAGATGCTGTCCAACCAGAGTGAAAAGAAGGTCCACTCCCTGCTGAATTCCCTGTCATCCCAAGATCTTGCTGCCATCAAGCCTCTGCTCATCTCCATTAAGGCAACATTTGAGTTGAAAGATGATGAAGATGATTCAGGTTTGGCATGGCCTTACAGCCTTTCATTGTATCCCGTCGTAGTTGCAACTGACTCCTTATGTTTCAATTCTTTAAAATTCTAATTTTTCCGAATTGTTCTCAATTTAAAAATTAAAACTACAGTCCTGTGCAAATATTTAAATAGTTCAATAACAGAGATTGTATAATGTATGGTTTAAAGTACACCAAACATTGCACCCATATTATATCAAACCCTTGTTCCATTTATACAAATTTAGTATTTTATACAATTCAAATCATCTTGCAAGATGTAATTCAATCTTTATCAGACAAAGATGGAAGAAAAAGGATACTGTTTCAGCTTTGTGGAATGAAGCTGAAGAAGACCAGTTAACACATTTGCAAAACAACTTGTCAGTTGTAAGATAAGGCTGAGCTTTCCATCTCTTCTCCAGACACAACCAGTGACCAGGATTTCAATGGTGTAGTGAGCCAGTGCTTGACAGAGCTGGAGCTGGGAACAGCGCCAGACAAGCTGAACAGGGTCCACGATATGGTCAAGCGGTGGATACTAGACTTTGATGCTCATGAAACTCACGACAATGACAGCCTGAAGGTGTGTTAACACTGGGGCGCCGCCGTGACGTATCTCTGCATCAACTTTTACTTCAACAAGCAGTTGAATTCTGTACAATATTTACATACTAGTAGTCCATTAATCAATAATTGTGATGAGTCATATCATTAGAAAACATGTCTGAAACTTCTTTAAACCATAATGCCAGTGGTGTTTTTACCAAATTATTTTGGATGGTTGAACTCTTTAATTTTTTTTATTTTAAAAAATATCCCTGGATAATGTTTGTTTTTTTTAAAATTAGGAGCTAATATTAAAATACCAGTAATTGTCAAGCCTCAATAAAATATACAATCGGGAGAGGCTGTGCTCTTGTGATTATTTAGCCCAGTCGACCGATGTGACTAAAATGAGTTTAAATTTCTTGAATCAATATTCTGTTTTTATTTGTTTTACAGGAAGTGCACCAGAGGAGCATCCAAGCCCTGGCTGAGATTACGGCTAAAGGTGTGGAGCAGTTGCATAAAGCAGGAGAGCTTGTTTTGTTAGACAGAGAAAAGGAAAAGGACTTTAAAGAAAGGGCCCAAAGTTTGGCCAGGTAAGGTTCAAACGGCTAGGGTAAGAAAGTTATAATTTGATAGCTTTCTCTCATCACATTTTTTTGTTCATTTTTAAGTAGTTGATCATGTTAAATATGAAAGGGACAAAAAACAACCAATCTCTTCCTTATCTCTAAAATACAATCACTTTTATAACTCATCACTTTTATAACTCATCAATTTTTAATTTGCAGTTCATAACTTTTCATGTTGGTGATTTATGTCATGTGCATGTCAAAAAAATCTTCATCTCTGTATATTACTTTGCACAGACTAGTTTGAATGTTTATTTTATTACATAAAACTTTAAAACTTTCTGCATTAGATTTGCATTTGTCAGTCCAGCATTTTAAATATCAAACATATCCATGAATGCTTTAACGATAAGCTTAACTCTTGTGTATTTCAGGTTAACTGGGGTTCTGTGTCATGAGATTGGAAACCTGGCAACTCAGTTTGCAGCATGCCTCAATAAAATGGCTGTAAGTAGAAAATTATTTTTGATTCAACTTTTTTTTAAACTTACCAACTTAATTTTAACAACTTCAACACAATTATTGTGTTTCATGATATGAAATTAAAAGCTTTGCCTCAATGTATTAATCAGTAAATACCATTGATAGGTGCATGCAATAAGGGATAGGTGATGATAGCAATTCTGACTCACTTCACTTATGCCTTTTACCCCACCTGGGGACATATGCCATCTACAAGAATTTTCCATTCATCTCGGTCCTGTGCTTTCTTTTCCAGTTGCTTCCAGGTTTGTCCCATACTTCATGCGTCTAGCTCGAGCTAGCGACTAAATGCATTCTTTGACCTTGCTCTCTTCCTTTTTCCCTGTGGATTCCATGTCAGACCTGTTTACTCTTACGATTTTGGCGTACAATGTACGATTTTGAGGTGTATACATTATATATACAGCACGTTTTTGCTCTATAAAGAGAATGTATTGAACGATTATATGATGATATTGTACGATTTTAAGGGTTTGAGGGTAAACAGGTCTGCCATGTTAGGAATTGTCTAGTGATGTTATCTGGGGGTTTACGAAGAGTGTGCCCTATCCAACTCCATCTTTTCCTTATGGTGTCTTCAGCAATAGGCTCTTGGTATGTCCTTTCCAGTAACTCTTTGTTGGTGATGATTTTTAGCCATTTTATGTTCAGGATCATTTTAATGCAAGTGTTTGTGGAGGTCTGTACTTTCTGTGTGATGTTCGCTGCTCTTCAAGTTTGACTCCATAGAAGTGTACTGATTGGACGTGTGTGTTTAAAATCCTACCTTTCGTTTGGCTAATTGACAGACAGTAGTGAAGAGTGTCATAAACTAAACTGACCTAAATGTCATTTTAGTTAATTTGGAATGTTATATAATTATGTTTCTTGAAAACCTTCCTGACCAAGATACAAGCTTAAGATACCTTAATAAAGTTTCAATAAAAGTATTTTTTATTACAGGAAACTAACTAATTATATTTTTTTTAAATTCACATTCAGGATAAAACAGATACAGTTGATGAAATAACACCTCTGGTTACAAATGTTTACCTTGAGGTAAGGATAATTCAAATTCATAGTCCCTTGCCCAAAGGAAAGGCAGCCAAAAAGATGCGTGTTCTTTTTCAAATAATTCTCAATTACTCCAATAAGTCCAGACGGAGAAGTAACTTGTTTTGATTAAATTCTTGTTTAATTTATTAAGAAAGCTGCTCCCAAAAAGTTTATATATATTTTGGATTTCTCTACTGAAAAAATTTTCAATTTAATAATAGCCAGTGCTAAATATAGCTTTGTAGTGAAGGGGTAAATCTTGCAATTACAGAAATCTACCAACTACATCAATAATTTTGTATTGTTGAACCATAAATTACATGGGTTTTATCACAACACTATTTTCTGACCATACAGTTTTTTTCTTAAATATTGAAAACAAAAAAAAAAGAAGGGGGAGGGGATGTCTTTTCATCTTTTTCTTTTTTGTATTTGTTTATTCTGCCACTCTTCTATAGGAATAATGTATTTCTTAACTTATCCCAAAAATACAAGAGATACATACCTCATCACTATAAGAAGCTAAAGAAGGTTTTTAATCTATGTATTCTTTTCTGTTGGTATTCAATTCAAAAACTTCACCCAATTTTTACACTGTCTCTTAAGCTCCTTGAGCTTTACTGCAGTCCATTTCTTGTAATTACTTGGTCATGAAACCATTATTCTTATATGTTCCAGGCTACAAACAGCAGCACATACATCCAAGATGCATTTCTCCTGCTGTTACCTGTGCTACAGCATGCAGCTATTGAGCACTCCATCTTGTCCAGACAGTCATGATTTTTATATAGATTTTGGGTTTTGCAATCCGTGTAGATAGTGGTATATATATATATATATATAAATATATATGACATATACATATGACATTTTCTGTGGTGATATCATAAATTTGTTTTTTTTTAATTTATAAGTGATGCTTGGCATCACAAAATAATAATTAATTTGAATCAATATAATATTTGCCATTAACCTGAAGGTACTTCAGGGCCATTTTTTACAAAATAGTATGAAAGTATTTGAAAGTTATAGTCGAAAAAAATGGATGACCTTGTCGTTTTGTGATTTGAAATTTACTATGTAACTTATTGTAACTCATTTTTTTTTTAATATCATGCTAGCCAATTTGATAAAACTACCCCAAAAATGTAAAACAATTTTTTACCTTGTATAAATTTTAAAATAAAAATGTTAATAAAATAAAAATTCTGTATTTTTAGCACCAAAATAAAAAATCATGAAATTTTTTTTTTAACCAATTGTTTAGAATTGAAAGATTTACATACACAGATAAAATGTAAAAAATTATGTCCTTTAAACAAACCTACTTCTCAGTAAACTGTACCAATGATTCCAAACAAATAATAATCCAAATATTTTACATTTCAACATTCTGAGTAGTTTCTATAATGATTGTTTGTTATAAAATGGTGGTGGTAAAATTAGAGGATTTTTCATACTTGGCTGCAGAGTCAGATCTTTGAAATAGATTATTTTTTTTTGTTTAGTCAGGGTGTGATTTGTTTCACAGATTAATGAAAATATTGTGAAAAGTTATAGACATTACAGTGAAATTTCTAGGTTTGTCTGCATTCCAGAGCTCTCATATATTTTTATGGGGCATTAAATTCTTTAATGTATGTGAATCACACCCCACTGGAAGTTCCAAATTAAATTAAATTTCATTTTTTCTTTATAAAAAAAAAAAAACTTGAATTTTTACCATAAATTTCAGCACATGATGCCCCACACATTATGTGCCAACAGTGGCGGTCAATATAGGAATAAAGTTGATATTATCTTAAAAGATATTTATTTCAATGCTGTTCAAGTTCATGTATTCAAATTTTCTATGCAGTGTATAAAATGTGAAAATAGAAATGAAAGTGAGGTTTGTTGTGCATTGGACATCTGCTGCCGTGGTCCAAATTCTTTGATTCACTGCATTCTTAAATCTCTCCCACATCGCAATTTTGTCATTTTAAACCCGATAATTTTACTCATTCTAACTGAATTTACCCATAATAATAAAATAAATGATTATCGAAGGTTGTGGAAAAAAGCTTGTTTCTTGCTGTACATAAATTTATAATAATTCAGAGATTATTTGTTAGAGTTAAAGAAAATGAGGAAATTGTAATTCATTTTTAGCAGCACTATATACATTGTGGAATAACATCTTTCAAGTATTCTATTTTTGGAATTTTTACTCACAACTGTTCTTAACAAAAAAAATTTTTTTTGGTACATCCTAATGTTAATACAATGGGTAATTTGTATAAATGTCTTAAATAATTATTTCAAATGTCTTAATAAAACTTTGACTATTTCTTATTATAATTGGGGGCTTAAGAGGAATCAATTTATGTTTTATTAGAAAAGATTACCAATCATTAAAATGTATAAATATCTCACAGATGCTAAACAACAAACAACTTTATGAAATAATAAAGATATAATTCTAGATTTGTTCATTTATCTACTTCTTTTATTCTAAAACTTCATCATTAAAACTCTTCTTTTTTTTTTACATCTGGCCTAAGGTCTTATAAATAACTTAGCTAAAATAGGCAAGTATAAAATTATTTAAAAATCTGCACCGACTCTTTATTAGGGAATTGATAAAGATATGTAAATATGGTTATTGTTTTTGACTTAGCTTGAAGGAAATCGACTCTGAAAAAATATTAACACTTGCGAGTTATATTAGTCACAGAGTACAAATAACAGAAATTAAATTTGGCGGTATACTAATTGGTACTTATGAAGTCTTGCATGTGTGTACAAAGATATGATATATGAAACCAGTTTGTATCTTTGATCTTGATGTTATTATAAAAGTTGCAATGTATAATGAATCAAGAATCTGTCATTTTGATGTATAATAATAATAATATATTTCATTCTTACATAAAGCGGCACAAGTCTTCGGTTTATTCATTGTCACATCATGGTAATCCTAGCAATGGCTGGCATAATTTTGTTGGTAAGAAATTTAAAATTAACACGAGCAGATTTCTAAAGATGAGGGAAAGACATTGATCCCACATACAGAGTTGTTTCCAGATAAGAAGAAAGCACTTTAATTCACGAATAATATCGATCTGAATAAATCCAACCCACTTACAGTTCTAAAGTGTCAATTTTTTTTACTATTTGTGTCTTCAGCATGGATTTCCATTTCTGGTCCTTTCTTAGCTTCAATGATATTTAATATTTTATTAATGCAACTAAAAATTGCCTCTGCATAAACCCGCTCGATAGTTTTGATTTTTATTGCCTCTGCATAAACCCACCGGATTGTTTTAAATTTTGCAAAGTAAATACGCAGGAAGTGTCTGACTAATGTGATTTTGCTATAAGTCAGATCCTACATCATATCTCATATGATCAAGTTTGTATTTATATCAAGAAGGAACTAAAAAATCAGAAAATTGAAGCAAAGGAGGATGGGAATGAGAGAATATGAAAAGCATATTCAGAAATTTACAAGTGCAACACCATTCATAATTGGGTCTAATCTAATTTATTCAACCTCGTTTTCTTATGTTATATCATGGCAAAATTAACTACAGTTAATAATAAATTTAGTATAATTTATACAGCTCTGTTTTTATTTACTCTTAACTCAGTAGTTTTAGTTTTAACCTATGTTAATTATTGAATGTAATCTCACCTACTGTACTTCTCTGTTTAGCTAATTTATTATCTATTTTTATTTGAATTTCTTAGCATTGGGGAATTATGAATATTGAGGGATAGATTCTTCTGTACATACATGTAAATGAAAACTTTCTCCAATATTATTTGATATACACTAGTGATTTATATACTGTGTCACAGTATACATTCTATAAGTAATTAAATCCAGCTACAGGCAAGGCAAGCATTTTATTAGTCTTTTGTTGCCATAAATTTTATCCCTAGCCATTCCCAGCAAAGTTTGCCATTATTTACCTAAACTTTATCAATTTAAAAAATAAAATAGAAACTTTTATTGCACTTGACATGAGCTCAGTTTTGTAGCTTAATATCTCTAATTCTGAGCCAAAATTTCTCAAGGTTCCAATAATCCTTGTGAGCTGAAATTGTGTACAGAAATTAATCTAGCCTTATACTTAATCTCAAAGTTTGAAAAGGTCCTCAGTTTACAAATTCCAAATAGAAATACAAGTTAAAATATTACATCCATCTAAGCATCAGGATTTGCATGAAGAGAAAAGCAGTTTGAAAAGACATTCTCCAAGGATAAAATATGAGGGGTATTATTGTATTCAAGACATTCTCTGTAGGTTATCATGCTGGAATAAAGGTGGAACAAAGGATGGGTTTTTTTTAGGGGTGGGTGGAGATAATTTTTTTTATTTCTCATCTGTAAGAACCTTTTTGCTAAGATTTCCCTACTTTAAATACCATGCTGTTTTGAAGAAATAAGATTAAAGGTTTTTCAACAAACAAAAAACACCATTCTTTGCTACATTCTAAATCTCAAAGTGTTTATCTATTGTTATTGTATTTGTTAAGAGTTGCAGAATAATTATTTTATAAAATTAGCTAAAAATGATATTAACATAAATTATTTTTGGAAAAGGAAAACCAATAAATAAAAAATAATCCATTTGGCCACTGTTGTTTCTCAATTTTTCTTATGGTTTCATATATCAAGTCTTACCATAATTTTCTTTTTAAAAAAGAAAAAAAGGTATTCATTCACAAGGTGGTGAGGATCAGTGCTGATAAACATAAATTTGAGAAACAATTTCAGACTAATTATTTGGGAGAAGTAGGTAATGTTAAACATTGTTCCACAAAAATGCAAAATTCATCATTAGTTCTACTCATACATACCTACTGTTTGTAAAAAGTTTTCTATTACCATACATGTATAAAATAAGTATCACATACTGCTTTTACAGGAAGCATGGTATGCAAGTACTAGAAATCTGCGGTAGTGAAGACAACTTTACACATGCTTAAATTTAAGAAGTCATGATGGTATTGCAGTACTGGTTGTGACCAATGTTCCCTCTAAGGTTTGTTGGTTCGTGTGCAAAATCATAAAGTTGTGTGCAAATTTTTACAGCATCAATTTTTTTGCATGCAAATTTTACAGCCTACAGACACAAACTTAAGTGGAAATTAGCTGCGCGGTACTCAAAACTGCTCCGCAGCATCTGTGAGATTGCTGCGCAGCTTAAAGGGAACATTGGTTGTGACCATGCTTTGCAGGGAACAAAGAAATTTCTTTTTAACAGTTATTTTTTTTTTTTTAATAGTTTTTATTACCTTAATCATAATGTTAGCATTTTCTATAATACAATATAGAATTCCTGCAAGAACAATAAGTCAATTCATCTTTCTTTGAAAACAGCTCCACAGTACAGATGCCCAGAACAAAATATTGAAAAAGAGAGCTTATATACATGACAAAATATCAAAAGACTGGCATATGAAAATCTAAAACTGTAAGAAAACCATAACATACCTTGTAAAATTGTATTTATAAAATAAGTATCGAACAAAAAAATCTATGATGCTGAGGGGGAAAAAATTTTAATTGGACGGAGCCCAGCATAAATTTTGCAATTGTCAAATGCTTTTTACCCTTTTATTAATAAAGAAAATATAAATAATGAAAATCATGATGATTTTAAGGGGTGGGTATATCAATTACAAATGTTTTTGTGTAAATAATACTAAAAGCAATCACAAAATATGTGATTTAACCTGTGCTTTCTACCATTTTCAAAACAATATTTTACATAATAGTAGTCTTCTTCATAAATTTTTAAAAAATCAAGACCAATTTAACATAGCTGGTTTTGTTTGTAGTTGATTCCATGCTAATGAAAATGTGCTAAGTGAATGAGTTGAATAAAAAAGTATTATGACCGAATTGAGTTATCACAGAGCGCATTGCTGTGTCTAACACAGCCTCAACTCTTAAAATGGCTGAGCAAAAAAATTAATAAATTAATGTTAAAAATAGCATAAAATATTTATAAAATGTTGACATACATATCAAAAGCTGTTACATATTAGCAGCCAGACGCCATTAGTGAAAGGCCAAAGATTGTCACAGTGTGCATACGTATTTTCTCCTTCTTAAAGCAAGCGTGTATTAAATAAGTCAAAAACATACACACTTAATGTGTCATTACAGGTATCCGTCAATATAGGCATTCTCACTTTATGTGTTTTGCTAGCATGTATTTTCTGGCGGGAACTTTGTAATTACCCTGTGCAGTTATTTGCATATCTCAGCATGCACAGCACTGACCAGTTGATTTTTTTGTGTGGACATTTTTACCTTCTATACAGGGCCTTCAAGAGTTATGTTTCAGGCTTATCAGATTAAAAATGTGAATTCGTTGACCATTTTTATATTTTTGTTTGGAAACAATCCAATATCACCCATGATTAAACAAACCATGTTTAGTTATGACTTAGTGACTTGCCTGCTTCTCAGAATTATTAGCTTTATTTAAGGGAAAGGAGTACAAACATCTTGCATGGCACCTAAACAAAATAATTATAGAGTACAACTGAACCTCCATTTTCAGAATGATCCATGGGTTGTCAGTCTTTATTTGTGGTTTATTTTAGATTGATTCAGTTATTAGATTTTCACCTGTCATCAAATTTAAATAACACCTTATTAACAGATAAGCTTATTTTAAAATGATATAAAGTGAATTTAATTAAATAAATTTGTAAGTTCATTAATATATGGTTTTTTTTTTGTGTGGTAATTTTGAACTCTTATCGTGATTTTTACTTCAGTTAATTATGGACCATAATGTTGTCCACTTCCAATAGTAATAAATGAGCTGGCTTAGGCTGTCAAAAAATCTTAATTAATGTTGCTGAAATATTGGGTTATTGTTTCATATTATGGAATATTAAAAAGCATGTTAAGACCTTTTAAAAAAAAATGCTGTTAATTTTATGCCAAACGTCTCCCTAAAAACACAAAGTTAACACTGTTTGGGAAAATCTTATCTAAAATCTACCGGGGGTTCAACTGTATAATAGGGGAAACTTGTTTTAGGTTAAACTAAGAAATGCAATGAGTGAGATGATCTTCCCCTCAAAACAGTCCCACAGTAGTAAAGACTTGAAGGTGAGTAATGTAACAGAGCCTACAAACAGTCAATGAAGTAAAGAGTTGATGTTCGAGTCTTGACGTTTTCTGGGGAAGAAAAGAAAAACAAATAAATCTGACAGACGGATGCAAGACTTTAACTAGTTATCAGCTGTCAGGAACACTTAGATGTCAAATATGAAAAAAAAGCGATTAAAGTTAAAGTGTAAAATTACAATCAAATAAATATTAACCACATGTAAGCTATTCGTTTTATTTCTTTCAACAGGTTAAATAAACAAGTATCAATATTTTGACACTCGGGAATAATTATTATTCCCGTTGGAATAATTATTATTCCCGTTTGACTAATTTTTTGTACCCTGAAAGTGTTATTTTTTTCATCTCAAAGAACCAGAGAAATAAAGAATATTGTTTTAAAATATTGTTTTTAAAAGTGTTTTAGCGATAGTGTGAAGAAACTATAATTAAAAGGCCATGGGGTGGCCGGGGATGGGAGGGTGGCCGGGAATAGGGGCGTGGACGGGGGTCAACAATTGACACCACATGGTATCAACGTCATGTCTCTTTTCACAGCTTGAACCCTAGCTCCGCCCCTCCACGTCGCGACCTATCCCAGTGGACTTACTTCTCCTCTTTTCTTTCCCTCTTTCCTATTTAATCTCTCACCCACTTACTTTCTGTCACAATTCATTTGACGTCTTCTCGGATACTACTTCTAAGCTAAGTGCTATTTTTTAATTTTAATTTTATTCTGTTTTTTCTGTTGTTTTGTTCGCTGACCAAGGCTTCCTGCCGCCATGTTCGTTGTTTTGTTGCGTTCCTTTTTCAGGTTTAGCCTTACTTTTTTTTTTACTCATCTCATATTGTGCTAACCTGATTGCAGTCTCTCCCCTTATTACCCTGTTCACATACAGGCTGCCAACAATATTATTTACTCACTTTCTGGAGCTTTTTGGTCTGTTGGCTGTCTTGGGTCTAGCAGATTTAGAGCCCTTGCTTGTCTTGGGTCTCATGGCCTCTGCTTCACCATCTCTTGTGTACGCCAGATAAATATGAGACAAATCTATCTCAGGACTCTGCGTCATCAGACAGAAGTGGTTATATTTTTTTTTAAGGAAAAAACGATCAACTGATAAATAGCAAATAGACATAGAAACGAATGGGTATGTATGTGAATAAATGGTCAGTTTAAATAAAAAAAGAATGTCAATGGATAGTATCTGCTCGAATATTCTTGCAAAAATCTATATTATTAGTTGTGGCAACCTTCTTTAACTTTTAAACAGTAATTTATTTTTAACAATTTATTTTTATTGGCTCAACCTTAAAATATGTGTTTTACATTTGCATTTCTGAATACATATACAATTTTAATAAAAACTTATATGTAAGCATTTAATTAAATCACATTAATCTTATTCATCTTTTGTGTATTAATAAAGAAAAATCTCTCTTGAGTGACTTTCATAAAAATCCAAATCCTTGAATAAATATTCGTATTACTAAGTTCATTGAGTCATTGATTCTTTCACCTTTTCTTTTTCCTTCTCTGGCTGTGGTGTCTGTTTTCTCATGTTGTTACCAGTGTAAGCAACACATCTCAGCTGCCACTCACCGATGTCATCGTTCCAGTGGACGTGTCTCTCAATCATCTCCTGAACAGACCGGACAGAAAAATCATGCAAATGTTATTTATACAAGATAAATTTAGGAGGACAATCTGAAATGCTAAAAATTGGCACATAAACATAATCAGCAGTTCATCACAAAATATTTTTTTTTAAAACTTGTGTTATAAGGACAATGTCAGATTTTCGAAGTAGGCCTGGCACTAGTTGTGCCATAGTTAATCCACCACTGGCTCACTTATTACATCTCTGAACAACAAGCTCCTGGCAAGTGTCTCACATGTTCCATCTATAAACAACAAGCTCCTGGCAACTGTCTCATTTGTTACATCTCTGAAAAACAAGCTCCTGGCAAGTGCCTCACTTGTTACAGCTCTGAACAACAAGCCAAAGACAACCAGGGACTGGAACAAGCTTCCAAGAAGAACAGTTGAGGCGAAAGCACTCAACACATTTGCGTCGATTGCCTCAAGCCTTCCAACCCCCAGTTCCTGATGCCCCTGCTGTTTAGTCCTTGCAACCAGTAAAATACCCTCTTTAATACCACTCACAAAAACATTGCAAATCCCCTCTACATACATAGCAGCCAGAATGATCAATACATTGATCGAGGACCCTTAATATATAGAAGAAGAAGGGCCTCACTTGTTACTGCCCTGAAATGTCTACGTTCTTAACTCTTTACCCACTGTGTGCTGATATATAGGCTTTAAAATGTTAAGTCTTCATTTTCTCCCATTTGGGGCCAATTACGATTTTTAATGTGGCTATAGGTCAATACTAAATTTCTACTTCTAGTGACAGGAAATTTAAAGGTGTGTAAACATAATGAATTTGATAAATTCAATGTCAGTCAATAGTATTTTATAGGTAATTTTGTATAATTACTTTTTGTTTTCTTCCTTTTATGTGTTTTTTTTTTAAAACCTTAATACTCTTTTCTTTTCCCATTTTTATCATTATTAATAAGTTTCAAATTTATTGATAGTTTTTTTTTTGGCTGCACAATTAATTATTTTTTTGCACCAGAAAAGCTGACAATTAGACAAAACTCACTAGACAAAGCATCAAAATCATGAAGACAAAATAGAAATCTTTAACTTTTTTTATAATTTGCATAAAACTCCCTCAATTGAACTTTTTGAGAACTTGATTTCCACACATATTCCAACCTGAAACTCAGGTGGGATGAAACTGTCAATGATGGTCATCTGTAGTTTGAGGTCCCGGCTCAGTTGTCTGACATTCTCCAGGAGACCTTCCATCTCCCTCTGATGTTCTTGTTGCATGTCAGCTATCTGAGGAACATTATGGTGATATAATGAGAATGAAGTTCTGGATAAATGCATTCACACAGGTCTTAGGCTACATCAGATTGTTGTCAGTTATTCCAATCTAGCTGACAGTGGGAACCTGAAATTAAACTACATAAATTTAAAAAAATAATTATACATTTTAGAGCAGGTTCATTTGTTGTCCCTTATTGCTTCAGCTGAATTAACAAGAGGTTCACAGTGAAGTTAAACCCACCTCTGATTTTACCTGCATCAACATAGTCCACACTGATTGCTAAGATGTTGGATCTTTTGGATTCATTCAGTCTTCAGCAATCGGTCGACCAACCGACTCATAATCGTGGACATATTCTTGATTGGGTGTTACATAGGCCTCAAGATGGTTTAGTTAGATCTGCTTCAGTCACTCAGGAGCTGTCCTCTGACCACTTCTGTGTTATTTGCGAGCTTAATGTAAGGGCCCCCAACCCTCTCCCCCAGTTTAGAGAGGTCCGCGAACTATAAACAGGGATGCCTTTAAGCATGACCTGAGTTTTGAAGTGTCCCCCGCCCTCTGCCCTACATTGGAAACACTAGAACGTGCATGCGCGCTGTGCTTGACCGGCACGCCCCTGTCAGCCGCCGCAATTTTAGGTTAACGCGGTCAGCTCCCTGGTATGCGACTATAAGGGAAGAACTACGCAGTGCCAAGAAAAAGCGGCGTAGTGCGGAAAAAAAGTGGTTGAGGTCAGGTCTTGTGGTTTTTAAGCAGATCTTTTCCGCTGCCAAGAAGCGTGTCACTCAGATTGTTTGTCATGCTAAGACTTCGCATTTTAGCCAAAAGTAAAACTTCCGGCTGCAACAAGATGGCGGAGAAAAAATTCAAAAGAATACAAAAGGAAGGAAACATGGATTTTACAAGAAAATAATTGTATGAAATAGTTCTTTCTTATGAATATCTGCTTAAGAATCTGCAGAGGATCAGAATCTTTGTTTCGGATACGTAATTTTTCTCTCAACAACATTTCGTTAACAAAATCTCCATTGTCACTAAACAAAGGATAACTTCCGGCTACAACAAAATGGCGGTATAGTAAAACACAATAGGAAGGAATCTCAGTGTGTAGGCGCTTCAGTAAAGCAAGAGGGATAGTTAAAGATGATTATTGGAAATTGGCTTCGACGCAAGAAAATTCGAACTTTTAATTAATTTTTATTGTTTTGCGGTTCCATTCAGGATCAGAATTTATGCTGTTATCAACGTATTTCTCCTTTAAATTACAACTACAATATAGATCTACTGTTAGGCTGAATAGGAAGAAGCCATCTTGTTCGGAAACAGCCGGAAGTCTCTGTACTCAGCTCTCACCTGTGGTTCCAAGAAGCTGTAACATGCACAGCGACTACAACCCAGACAACGATTCCAGGTTGAGGGTAGCCGAAGGGCATAGAACTTTCGGAAAAAAAGGGGTTGTCCCCCATAGCATGTAAAGACTGAATCCGGCAAATTGTGCGGAAGAACCACTACTTGGTCAACGGACAAAAGGCGGAGACAGCACAGTGGTGTGAATCGCTGAGAACATGACCAGACACGTAGAACGCCATGGTCATTCACTGCATGGGTGACTGGGTGGCCGAATGGTCTAAACTGAGCAAACCTCAATTTCAGCCAAAGGCCGGTCAAGCAAAAACATCACCCCGGGTGGATGAGACTCGTTAACCTTGGTCGGCAACTCATCTAAGAGAAGGAAACTCTGAATTCAAACCCGGAGTTGGAGTCCCGTAAGGCGCATACAATGTCAATTCCTGCAACCGTACCCATCCCTGGTCGTCTTGACGTAGAGTCTTGCCACTGGATATGGTGAGAGAGTGAGGTTGACGCTGCGCAACTCTTCCTCACTTTAAACAAAAGTCACCCGCGCAAGTCATCAGTCACCAGACGACTCGATGGTCATCGTCGATCCTCGACGGATGAACAACAGAACAGATTTTAGCCAAAAGATAACTATGGGTAAAACCAGCAGGCAGTTGTTTGATGTTTGTAGCCACCTTAGAGGGAGTAACAAAGGAACTCCTCTTCCTTCAGTATTTCCTTTGCCCCAGCAACCAGATATTTTCTGTGATTTCTTTACAAGCAAAGTTGCGAGCATTCGCGCTGAGCTTGATCGTTTTGATGCACCATCCCTGGATTTGCCTCCTGTTCCTTGTCTTACTTCACATTTCGATACTTTTAAACCTGTTTCAGAACTTGAGGTCAAAAGTATAATTTTAAAATCTAAACCTACGTCATGTTATTTGGATCCCATCCCCACCCCCCTATTGGTTCAGTCATTAGATCATTTGCTCCCAATGATAACCCACATAATAAATGAAAGCTTGTCTTCTGGCACTGTTCCCCCTCTTTATAAATCAGCTGTCATCAAACCATTGCTTAAGAAGCCTGGTCTGGATGGAAATAATTTTAAAAATTATAGACCTGTATCTAACTTATCATTTGTATCTAAAGTTATTGAAAAACTAGTTCTAAAACAACTTTTTGCTTATTTAATTGACCACTCTCTTCTCAGTTCTAATCAGTCTGCCTATAGACATTTCCACAGCACAGAGATGGCTCTCTTGAGAGTGACCAATGACCTCTTGCTCGCATTGGACAGTGGTGATATCTCCATCCTGATCCTCTTAGACCTCAGTGCGGCCTTTGACACTGTTGACCATGTAATCCTTTTCAAAACCCTTGAAAATTACTTTGGAATTTCTGGTTCAGTTTTGGCTTGGTTTAGGTCCTACCTCTCTGATAGAACGCAGGCGGTCTCTGTCGATGGCTGTCTCTCAGGCAGTGCTGATTTGGTGTACGGAGTACCACAGGGGTCCGTTTTAGGCCCGATTCTATTCACATTGTATACCAGACCACTGCTCCTCTTGCTTGGGAGGCATGCTGTTGAGAGCCAGTCATTTGCAGATGACACGCAGCTATACAAGCATACCCATCCTTCTCTTGTTGAATTCGCTGTCCAGACTCTGCGGGGGTGCATTGATGACGTCAAGTCATGGATGACACTCAGCAAGTTGAAGCTTAATGATGACAAAACGGAAGCACTCTTCATCCACAATCACACATCATCCTCTACCTCAACTCTTCCAACCTAATTCAAGTAGGTAACTCTGACGTACAGTTTACACCATCTGCTAGGAATCTTGGTTATATTCTTTCTAACAACATGTCTCTCGATAAACATATATCTCACATTTGTCGTTCAGCATACACCGCTATCCGTCAGATCAGCTCCATAAACCACTACCTCACAGTTAGCGCTACAAAAACTCTAGTCTGTGCTCTTGTTCTCTCTCATCTTGACTATTGCAACTCTCTTCTGTCAGGTTCACCAAAACACTGCATAGAAAAACTGCAGAAAGTTCAAAACTCAGCTGATGGCTAGTTTTAAAGGCAAAAAAACGTGAACACATCACTCCACTACTCCATTCCCTTCATTGGCTACCTATACAGGCACGCATCGACTACAAGTTGTCTGTTCTCTGTCACAACTTTTTCTTGGATTCCTGCCCTTCATATCTAACCGAACTTCTTTCTGTCTATTCACCCCTTCGACAGCTTCGCTCCTCTGCAGACACGCGTATTCTGTCCGTTCCCAAGACACACACTAAAACATATGGTGAACAATCTTTCTCTTTCTGTGCCCCCAAACAATGGAATTCATTGCCACTACACATACGCAATATACCAACCACCCAGGCCTTCAAAACTGCACTAAAAACATATCTTTTTAAATTATACTACCCTGACTGATTCCCCTCCTCTGACCGATAAATGATCTTGTTGGCTGCCGTCCATGGTTTGCCTCGTAAAAGTTATGTGGTGGGGTGGTTGAATATACATTGCTTTACTTTATTTCATAAATGCATTTTATTTTAATATCATGATTATGTCTCTTTTGATAAAATGTTTATGTACAGCGCGGTGAGCCCTAGGCTGGGGTACCGCGCTATATAAGACCTCTTATTATTATTATTATTATTAACAAGACGATCACAGTGAAGTTAAACTCACCTCTGATTTTGCCTGCATCAACATAGTCCACACTCGTTTTAGTTTTTTTGTTTTACCAGCGACCTCCTCTTGCAAACTAGAATATTTCTCCTCTATGTCCAGTCTTTCTTGCTGCAACAGATACAAAAAGACAGTTTCAGATTACGTTATTCAAGTGCATGCTTTTTATTTAATGCAATTGTTTAAACTTTTTATATGAAATGGTAGTTTCTCTTTTTAATATTAAACCAGCTGTTGGGATGAAGAAATCCCAGATGAAAAAAATGCATACTTCTTTCTCTTCCAATGCTTTCTTTAATTCCTCCTCCTTCTCTTTGCGAGCTTCCAGCTCCCTAGCACTCTCCTCCAGCAGTCTCTCCTGCTCCTCTGCCTTCTCCAAAAGATTTTCTCCTCCAACTATAATCTTCTTTTCTATGACAGACAGCTTCTGCTTCAACTGCTCTTGCTCATCCCTGGGGAATTCAAATTACACAGCGCAATTTAATTCATACATTTTTGGTAGTAAAAGTGTTAGTTGCGTGGAAATGGCATTGTGTCTTTGTATTAGCAGTGCTGACATATTCCATTTTAGAACCTGAGAAATAAATGCTAGGACTGATTAGTTTATCAGTTGATGGAATTAAAATATGTGAGGGGTTCTCTACCAAAAAAATGTGCACATTTGAACCTCCATGATAAAAATTAGGCAGAAATGTAGGAACTACATTAATTTTTATTGACTTGACTGCTTCCCGTATGAACATAGGTAGATTATAGAGTTATGCGCATGCAAAAGTAAACAGTAATTTATCTCATTTATTCTGGTCATACTGGAATTTTTTAAGCTCAGATTCCTTCTTGTCCAGGTCAGACTTGACCTTGTTCCTTTCCTCTTCTGCCATATCTTTCTTAGACTCCAGTATACGCCTGTCTTCCTCGATCTTGGCTTGGATTTCAGCCATTTTCTCTTTTGAGATGTGACGCTTGGCTGTAAAAGCACGAAACCACAATATTTACAATAATAGGTCATTTGAGATGGAATTTTTAAACATTATGATTCAATGGACATAAAAACTCATCCAGATGTAACATACAGCTACTCATGCTGTATAGAGAGTTACTGATTATGACTTCTGTTTAAGATGCATTACAGATATTATTTGTTTCATTGGAATGCATTTTATTTTTAAATAATCTGTTTTTTTAAATTAAGCTGGACACACATGAAAATTTCTTAAATTTCTAACAATACATTTCCTAGCAAGTTAATATAAGAATCACTAATAAACTTTTCAGATGCAACACTGCGGTTATAAATTTTTTTATATCGTTAACCATAAAAGAAATTAAAATATAATTATCCTCAAGTCATTTCTAAAAAAAACATCAATGAGTATTTAGACCCATCAACATCCAATATTACATTATAACAGCCATGATTTGGCCCTCATGATTTACACAGCATGCAGCATTTCATTCAGTCAGTCCCTGGTGCTCCAGTCATCTTCAAACATGCCCGTGAGCATGCAGCATATGGTAGAAATATCCACATACATTCCATACATCACAAACTTACCTAAGCAAAAATACTAAACAAATAAATTAAATAAATGTTTTAAAAAAGATGCACATTGATCAATCATTAAAATTTCTGAATAATGGTTATATATGTGTCTCTGTGTGCGCGCAAAGGCCAATTTAAAACTATTTGTCACCTTCATGTACATCAGAAGTTATTTTGAGGACAGACTTAGATTCATATTTAGTGATACATTCTGGAAATTCTAAGAAAAAATGTTACATAAGGTTATGAAGCTTAACATCATTAATAAATAAAATCTAAAGACGTATAACATGATGTTGAAATACTGTAGAAATCATTTAACATGAAATTTGGTTATCAGTAACAAATATTCTGGTTCGGCAAAATGCAATGTGACTTCAAAAATGTAATTTATTCTCACATGAAACAAAAGTGCTGAAGATAAATGCATTTATAACATCAGATAAACAGCATATTAAAACAGCTCCAAACATCGCCACCAAATCGTTTACTAGGGTTTACAGGTCATAAGTTCTTCTGATAAATGTAACATATTTAATTGCTTTAAAAATGTGTGTTTTTTTTGTTTTGTTTTTTTAAATTTCTAAATGCTTAAAAAATTACTTTTTTTTTTTCCTTCGTATATATATTTTATTGAAACTATTTTTTTTAAATAAATATTTCTATGTGGTGACACTACTGACAGCTGATAATAAACAGTTAATACTAATTCTAATTTTTCCTTCATGTTGAAATGGAATCCTTTATAGCAGAGGTTCTCAAACTTTTTAAATAAGGGGCTACATCAGTGTTCTCAGACACTGTCAGGGGCTGGACAATAGTTTGGAAAAATACACTGTCAGGGACTGAACTAAAGTATTAAAAAAAATGAATTAATGATATGCACACTGCACATATCATATCTGTGGTGAAAAAAATTAACTTGAAAAAACAATAACATAATTATAATGAAGGAAAAAATATATCCAACATAAACTTACTAGTCGTTTGACTAATCAGATGATCAATTTTGTTTCCAAATTTTTTGCTGCTAGCCAGGTGGCCAGGCGAGCCAGAATAAGGACCTCTGGAAGGCCCCATTTGAGGACTCCAGCTTTATAGCAATATATATATATATGTTTTTAAAAAAAAAAGGTTCTTTAGAAAACTTTTGTAGCTGATAAATCTATGAAATCTGCAACCTTAAAGAATAGAGGAAAACTAACTTCAATGTTTGAGCCAGGTTGGATAAGTGCTTGTTTGCTTAAAATTTCAATGTAATTTTTATATATATATATATTCCATATATTAGTGAGGCAGTATTTTTTCTTTATTTCGCTGATGAAATTCCTTTAAATTTTCAAAATATTTCTTTCCAATAGTTTCAAAATAAATGATTTCCATTGTATTTTCAAACATTCTCACAGATGCATTGTTCCAGGTCATTGAAAAAGGATCATTATTAGTAGTACTGAGAAGACCATCAAGCATTTGCCAATTACAGATTGCATTATTTAATTTTCAAATTGCTTTTTTCAATCCGTAGTCTGTTTCCTTTTCAAATGATACTAATAAATTTCAATTCAGGCAATAAAAAAAGTTGTTGGATGAAACAATAGAAAACAAATTATGTTTTTGCTGACTTGCAATTAAAAAATGTGCTATGCTTTTATATGTCTTTTATTGTTAGTATTGGATTAGTCAGATTTTGTTTTTTTGAAATTCAAAAACTAAAATGTTACAGTCAAGGACTCATTCCAAGATATAAAATAAAGACTTCAAATTAAAGCAAATATTAACTTCTATTTAAATACCACAATCTTACCTATATCTGTTGTCAAGTTAACATTTAAAAAAAAATTAAAATAACAAGGTTTGTTAAAAGTTAGAAAAATTGCCCTTTTTTTTTTAAAACTGATTATTCTTTAGTTTTAAAGGTCTGTATATTTACAATAAATAGGTTCAATTAATTTTTAAAAATTTTGTAACAAAAATTATTGTAAAAGCTTAGTGTTAAAATTAAAAGAATTAAAATTATAAGTATTTCACACATAGTGTGCCTAGTGAATTTACCATTTTAATATTGTCCGATTCAATGATTTTTGTCTGATTTATCATATGTGGCTTAATGATTTCTAAAAACAATGTGCAGACTTAACATAAAGTTTTTAACATTAATAGTGGCTTACTTAACAAAAAAAAAATGAAAAGCAGAACAAGTTTCTTTAGTATAAAATGAATGATTATTGTTTTCAAAAAATAAAAATCAGAAGGAAAGAAATGTTTCCAATGGCATCAACAAAGGGGGTGTAAACATTATACTTTAAAATTTCATCTAGCTTTTTCTAGGGTAATACTATAAATAATCTAATGATTAAAAAAGGGCAGTACAAAAAAAAGTGACAAAACTGTTCAAAACATTGTTAGATTTGGGTTAAATTACTTAATCTAGCATTTGTTCATGGATGGGAAAGCATGTGGCACGATGAAGAACAAATAGACATCACATTCTAGTTCCAACTGGTCCAGAGCACATTTTGTCAGACTATTGTTTCTATTTTGACTACACACTTGTCCCACAGCATGGAAAAGTTTATGAACATGCTAGGCAAAGCAGTCTATGGTGGTGTCCAGGACAAAAATCATTGTGTGTTCACTGTTATGTTTAAATTCTAGAAATTGCTGTCAATAACCATGAAACTGAGGTGTTATATTTTTTTTAATGCCCTTTAAATATTTTTTTGGTGCCATTTGATAATTTATGTAGCATTCAGTGGCCAATACTCTCAACAACCATTTTATTCATAAAGACTGAATGAATTAGACAAACTTTTTTATTGTTTTATTTTGTGTAATTGCATTTTGATCATTTTAAAATTAATTTATCTTGTAAGTACAACATAAGATAATGCTTCAAAGAAGTGTTTAAAATCATAAACACACTCAATAACGTGTGAGTTCTTAAATAGTTCCATGTTAAAAAAGTCATTATTACAATATAAATTTATCAGGGCATAACTCTTGAAGCTTTCATATAGTTAGAGGTAGCCACTATTTATGTTAAAACAAAATATTTAAAGAAAAACAAATCAAATTTGAAAAACACACAAGCAAATCATGTCCCACTCACCATCTGTTTTTGGTCACAGTGTCAAGAGACAAGAAACAAGACCATGATTCAAATGTCCATTGAAATTTTACAATAAAATTTACGTATCAATGAAATAATATAGGTAAGATTTTAAATGATAGGTAGTCATATTAGTGAAAAGTAAGCTAAGAAATGAGCATGCTAGAAAAATACATATAGTAAAAGACCAATGCTACATAATATATTGTGAAAATATTATGTGTTGTGTATATATTATAACAGCCTAAAAATATCCAGAGATCTGTAGTTTTATATGTGCAGGGCAACTATATGAATGTAAAAATGAATAATAATCTGATATATCTAGGGTCCCATTATGTGTGCATTTGAGGTCAATATGGTATTAATGTTTTTCTGCCATTTTACTTAATAATTCATTCATTACAGCGAATGTATTACTTCTATTCTTCAACGATCACTAAACCAGATCAATTAATGAAAATTTATAAATTTTTCACAACAAAATGAAGATTTGGCCTGTCATTGCGCTGTTTACATCTAAGGACTGGCAATGGCAGACAAAAATTATAATCTTTTAGTAGTTTATATTCCTAGCAAGAGGAGATCTTTTACGTGCCGATTCTCATCCCATGAGTTGGGGGACTTTTCGGGCTTGAAGGGTGGTGCTTTGGAGAGGGCATTAAGTGTTTTGGCTCAACGGCTCGCTGACGCCATTTCCTAATGTACACCATAGTTTAAGCTAAAAAATACTAGGATTCAATTACTAAATGTTAAAAACAGTTTCATTTGTATTTAAATTGAATATATTCTAGATTTACCTTTCTTCCTTTTTTTTACCATCCGTTTCTGTCCATTTTCATCTATAATTTCTTCTTCAGATCCAGACTCCTCCTCACTACCTTCATCATCAGAGCCACCTGATCACATTATTGGGAAAAAATGTAGTGGAAAGTTGTTTTAGATTTGCAAAAAGAAAATATTAATAACATAAAAACTAACATACTTATAAAACAAATTTCTTCTTAAGTCAACAACAAAGACATACATTAGATATACATTTTTATCTTTTGCTGTATAGACATCAGCTCAACTCGGATGACTATTTATTTAAATGAAATTAAATTAGGTGCCGAAAATGTCATCAGAGTTTTATAATGAAGCGGACCTGAAATGTTTAATCTAACGAAGCAGTAAGGCTAAATTTTTTTGTATCAGTTAGCAGATAAAAAAAAGTTAAATTATCAGTTTACTTAAGAAAACCATTACAAATTATCTTAAATATAAAAAAAGTATGTCCTAGATAATGTCAAGTGCATCAGTGATTAGAAAAGAATGCCTCAAATTGTAGTTGTAAATAAATAAGCGACCCCTACCTCCGTCTTCCAGCATTTTTTTCAGCTCCTCTATTTCTTTCTGGAACTGTCTGAGCAATGCATCCTTAGGGTCCTCATTAATCTTGGCTTTGTTCTTTATGTTCTTGGCTCTGTTGGCATACCTTAATGTACTGATGGACTCATCATAGTTGTAATCAGCTGGGCCAACATTGGCCACCTAGGAACATGGCAACATTTAGTGGAAAACCAGGGCATCATAAAAATTGTTATTCAACTGACCTTTTTTTTTTTTAAATGTTCTACAATAAAATGCTAAAGGAACATTGTTTAAATGTATCATCATGTAACTAGTATTAATTAGCTTTATTGCACTAGGTACCAATCCTTTCATTAGCGCACCATTTTTAGACAATTTCTAAGTTGTTGTTTTTTTTGTGTAAATGATGGTGCAATGAAGTTTTAATTTAAAATAAAAGAATCTTTAAAATAGCGCCATAAATTTCGGCTCACCTTATCCATTTAAAAAATATTTTGTAAAATTTAAACATGCTCTGATCAATGAAGAATGTATGAAACAAGTATTGCTGCTCTAGGATAACCTAGTTTAAACAGAACATGCTGAAAAGATGCTGAAAATGAAGTATGGATCTGGTACAGGACATTTTTTTTTTTAATTCTCCCTCTTGACTGGACATGGAGCTGTATATTAGAATATTGTCAAGTATAATCTCCATATCCACTGAAATGCAAATTTTTTTTTTTAAAGTCGAGAAGAGATTCACAATTTTTATTGAAAACATCTTACCATGACTGTTTTTGAGTTTCCACCAAGTGAGTCTTGCAGTAAACGGGTGAGCTTGGAGTTCCTATACGGAATGTGTGTGCTCTTGCCATCGACTAATGCAGAAATGACATTTCCAAGAGTGGATAAAGACAGGTTGATCTTTGTTGCTTCTTTCAAACGTTGTCCCGTTGCACCAGTTTTGGCCTGACGCTCAGAGCCCTGGATTTTAAACATGTGTTCAGTTATATTACTTGTCGTGAATGCAGAACTGGGAGCGGATGACCAATTCAAAGAAAACATTTTTAAGACAATTTGAAACGCAGTTGAATTTAGCCTACACAAGGATAAAAATAATCAAAAACAAATAAAAAGCAAGTTTTGATGGAAAACAAAAAATTACAAGAAATGTTATTTGAGTTTTTTATGAAAGTATTCACATTTAATAAATATAAATGTTACCATTCAAATCAGTGCACATGTATACAAAGTGAAGAAAGGAACAAAACAGTTACACCACTTCCTTCTGATTTATACGATTCTCCAAGTTCAGCTCATAATACACTTGAAAAGCTAATTTTTTTTTTAGTGACAATTAAAAGTAAATGAATGTTCTTTCTTATATGATGTCATAACTTACAGCTAAATCAACCAAGTGTAATTTCCCCACTCTGACATGTTGCTCTCCATCCGGTCCCTTCTCACTGCACTCAATGGTCACTGTGAATATGGCATGGGACCTAGAGCTGTGCAAGTTCATATTAGTAGCTCCCACAGACCCTGAAAAATAACAAGCTTTGTCAAAACTTGGGGTGGATGCTATGATTTGACTACAATGGGAAAATGACTTAAAGTAAACTCCTTCTACATATACACAAATTTAATTTTTTTCAGGGTGCAGCTCAATGTTTTTTATATGGAAAGTCTCTGTCCATCTACACAGAAAGCCATTGGTATCTCAGGATGGATACTAAAATTTAAAAAAAACTTCTGCAGTAATATTTGCAAAGTAATTAAAAAATGATTTAAAAGCTCTTTTCCTGCAACTATGACTAAAATGTAATACTAAATCAAAATATATTTAAAGAATTATTTAGATTTGGGCTAACACTAATTATTTATCATTATTTTTATTTTGTTATGAAGTCATCGTATAGCTATAAATGAGTAGACACTAAGCATTGATCCTTTCTTTTATTTTGCTATAAATAAAGTCATGGTATAGCTATATTTGAGAAGAAAAGAAATCAATGAAAATATTAGAGAAAAAAAATAATATTAGAAACTTAAATAATATATCCCAGTGTACAAACTACTTATGGTACAGTTTAAGCTAAAAAAAATGTTTAATTAAAAAAATATAGCCTTTGGGATTTACAGTTAGTAAATTACTTTAAAGTATTATTAATAAACACTCATTTTAGGGAGTTTAACAGGAAGAATAATTGATTGCTCTCTTATAAAAGATACAATTCAGACACCCAAAAACTAGTTTCTATCTTACTATTTTTGTTCCCTAGTGTCATTATGCGGTCCATGTCATCTGCATTGTTGACAACAAAAGCCGACAAATCTTTTACATACACTCCAACATCTGGACGCTCTTTGACCTGTTATAAAGCCATGAATTCAAGAAAAGAATTATATAACATTTAATTTCAGTTTTATAAATAATGTTATATTGGATCAGATAAAAATCTAATCCAATTTAAAGCGCCCTTTCACAAAATGTAAGAAATTTAGTAAAAATGAATAATCTGAAAAATCTAAAAAAAAACCTTGACGGAAAGTTGAGTAATCTTTACATTGTTTTTACCTCTAATCTTTGGCTTTCATCTTTACCAAGCAAGTCTCTGACTTCTTCATTGTAGATCTCAAGGTATGACACACGCACTAAGAACCTATGGGTGAAAATTTATGTTCATTTTTTAAAACTTAAAATTTTTAAAATAAAATCATGCAATTTTCAATTCTAGTCCATGCCTTATTATTTTAGAAAAAAACCTATCTTGAAACTTAGAGCTTTATGTAAACTTTAAAAACATAACATATATGCTTAAAATAATATTGAAATGATTTCAGGTGAATAATACCTGTAGGAATGTATATAAAAAAATGTAACATGGATTAGTGTTACCTTTTTTTTTTAAACAGACTAATTCAGCTTAAGTATAAAATGAACAAGCCTACCTTGTGTCGCCTTCAGCTTTAGCAATGTGGCCAAATATGTGAGCAAATGAATTTGGTATAATGCCTCTTTTCTCTGGTATAGCTCTGAGACCTTCCATGGTAAATGTTTTCCCTGTGCCAGTTTGGCCATATGCAAAGATGGTGCCTGAGAACATTTAAAATGTTTTAAATTTAATAATTAAGTTGATATTAGAAGACAAATCTGAAAAATTGTCTTTCTTTTTTTTTTTTCTTTCTTTTTTTTTTTTTTTATACTCTCTTTTTTTTGTTTCTTTTTTATTTTTGCGGTTTCACAACTATGGAGGGATAAGAATGAAAAAAAAAAAAAAAAACAAAAGTGCCAGTTTGGCCATATGCAAAGATGGTGCCTGAGAACATTTAAAATGTTTTAAATTTAATAATTAAGTTGATATTAGAAGACAAATCTGAAAAATTGTCTTTCTTTTTTTTTTTCTTTCTTTTTTTTTTTTTAGATACTCTCTTGCTTTGGTTCCTGTTCCAGTTGTGCAGTTCCACAACTATGGAGGGATAAGCATGAAAACAAAAACAGAAGACAAATTTGTCTATACTAATATTAGTTCACTGCACAATAAAACTTATCATTAAGTAAGGTCTGGTTTTTCTTTAATTCAGTCTTTTTAGATTTAAGCACCACTAATATTTGTAAATAAAGAATTAATTCACACTAAATAAGCAACTAAAGAGAGATGCATTTGAAACACATTAGGTATCATAATGAAGAGACCTCAAGGAAGAAGGAAGCTACTGGCACTCAATACATGAATACAAAAGAACTCACCATTGTATCCTTCCAACACACAATCAACTACAGGCCTGGCCACCTTGTTGTAGACATCCAACTGCTTACAGTCAGGCCCAAACACAATATCAAATGTAAAGGTTTTAGGAGGCTCTGCCTGCGAAGCCTGAGGATTCTTAACTGTCACTGAGCCTCTTACTTCATCAATCTGAACAAAAGACAATAGAAAATTCCCTTAGCCATATAATTCAAGTAAATCCCAGAAAATCTAAACATCGAATTGAATTTTAACCTTCTATAGAATCATAAATAAATAATTTTTAAAAAATTAAAATATCTAAGTGTTAAAGGCATATACTTGAACTTGATATTAACTAAATTTGAAACCCAATGTTGATCATTATATAAATATTTAGAGGATATAGGGATATAAGTTTCTTTTTATTCTATTTTCACTCCCTGTTAATGTTCATATTTTGTTTTGCAGTTTAGTAGTTCAGATAAACTGTTTCTAGATATTTCTTTACATGTCGTATGAATTTTGTAAATGTGCATAATGACATGAATTCAGTTTATGATAGCAGCATTACACAGGATGATCTACTATTGTTCACTGCACAGGAAGCCATGTTGTTATTTAAACCAGTTGATTATGATTAAAAAGCCTTCTTCGTTAGGTGTAAATTCAAATATTCAAGCATAAATAGTGAACTTAATAACAAATCACCCACAATATGTCAAGGTTAATGACCAAATATCATTAACTAGAGAAATTAAGTACCGAGGTGCCATAAGGTGGTGTTCTCTTCCCTGTGCTATATACAAGATATACCTATTCCCCTGTAAGTTCTACAATATATATTTTAATGATATCCAGAGCCCAAGCAACACGGTTCCAATAATTACATTTTCTGATACCACTGTCGTTGGCTTAGTATCTGAAAGAGAAAGCTTATACCGCAACTTAGTTACAAGCTATATCAGTTGGTGCCATAAAATATTTTTTTTCGATTGAATGTCTCAAAAATGAAATAAATGGTTGTTGATTTCTGAAGGAGGAATCACCCCATTGCAGATCTCAGAATAAAAATAACAGTATAGAGCAATTCAAGTATAGAGACATTCAAGAACCTAGGTGTCACCATTAATAATAATTTAACATGCATGAACAGGGCCACATTCTGTATAAAAAAGACAACCAAAGACTTTTCTATTTTTTTAAAATTTACAATTTCAGCACTAACAAACAAAATATTAACTTATTGTATAATGCAACATTTGGAAGCCTACTGAACTTCAGTTGGTGTGGGAATTCATCCTCTGACATTAAACACTAATTAAATAGACTGATCAAGAAAGTTATTAATTATTAATATCACACAAACTAAATATCCTTCGCTTGAAAAACTATTTGAAGAAAAATGCTCTTGTAAAAACAAAATACAATTTTTGGTTGAAACATCGCACTCTCTTCATCACAGATGCCCAAGATGAGCTTTATCAGGGGGAATTCTTTTTCTTAAAGTTATGTCCGAAGGATATAAAAATTGTTTTGCTCTCCAGTCTGTACGAATAAACCAGATTGCTCATCCCAGTGGTTACCACATCTAAATCATTAATAATTAAGTCAATATTATCATTAAGTGAGTTCATTTTGATGGCTGATTTCTATGCTAGAGAAATACTTTCGATTTCTTGTGTTTCAATTGTTTTAATTGTAAAATGTTGTCTTGGTTAAAATATGTATTTATGTGCTGAAAATTAACATGTACAATGTGATAAAAAACATTTCCATTTATTTCAATCAATAAAGAATCTTATCAAGAATGGATAAAAATTAATTTAGAAGTATGTCTTAGTGTACATTAGTAAAACTAAAGTGTTATATAAACTTACATTAACAACAACATTACAATGTGTTTCTAGTTCTTTCTCATTTAGAGGTCTTGATCTTACTACCACCCGCACATTATCCAATTCTTTCATACTCTTGTTTTCCTGAAAATAAAAAGAATAGTAATAAATACAAGATATATAATATATATTTATATAAACAAATTGTCATACAGAATAGCATTTTGTATTACTATGGATAGAGGTTAAAATTGTTTTTTATTCTTGAATTTGTTTGAGATCATTGTAATTTTAAACCTGTGTTCAATGGCACTTGTAAAAGCATATGTTTCATTTCTGTAATATTTACAGAAATACATTAGTAAAAAAATATACTGGTCCCTACATTTTGTGTTTGAATATTTTTTTGCTTCTTCAAAATAGACATGTTTTAAACCCTAATATTCCTTTGGAATTATCCCTATCTAGCCTTTTTAAATTCAATGTCCGGTAAATTTGAAGTAGCAAAATTAATCATGCACAAATCCTTTCCAAATGACCCAGCGTTAAATTTTACCAGCTAAGATTTTTTTTAATGATAGATTTGCAGTGATGAATAAGACATATGGGGCAATCCAATGACATTGCGCTATTTTGGCCAATTGTTAACACTCCAATGACTATGTAGACTTAATAATATATTACTGAAATAAAATTTAATTTGAAGCTATGTCCTGAAATTTTACACCTAAATTTATCATATCTAAAATCTACATTGGTATAAGGCCTACAAGCCAACCTGTGAGATAAAAAACTGTACAAAAAGTCCCCAAAAACCATTTGTGTCAGTGTCATGACAAAAAAAGATGGCAGAGGCAGGAGTGTGGAAAAAGGTTGGGAAAAAACAGGGTAGAACATGAGGAAAAGTCAAGGCTAAAATTACCAATTAAACTTTGAATTTTCATTAAGTCAAAGTTCAACAACAACTAGCAAGTGTATAATAAAGTAAATTTTGTAAACTGAAAACAATCACATACTTTAAGTAGGCACTTTGATTAAAATTTCAAAAATTTTAAAAATATAAAAACACTACAGCTGTATAGAGCCTGGAGAATAGATTACAAAAACACCAAGATCAACTTTCTAGCTCAAGGGGTTCAAAAGTTATGATTTTTTTAGTAGGGACCTCAAAGGCACTTTTTTAATATGGGATTTTCCTCCACATTTCGTGACCCTCATTTTGATTTTTTTTTAAGGACTATAACTTTATTATAAAATGAGACAAAAATATAATATTTACAGGGAACATATTTTAAATAGAGTACTTCTAAATAGAACCACAAAATATAAGTTAGTTTTTGTTAATATTCCGCAAAAATTATTTAAAAAATCTTTATTATTTTCCTATTAAAAATATATAAAATATGCTGACTCGTCACTTATTTGTAATTAATCAATTAATTATGTATAAATATTTTTTTTCAATTTTCCAAAAATCATAATAATAATAAAATATTCTTAAGATATTAATTTCAAATTTTCTGTGGAATTTGACAATTGTTTAAAATTTATAAGTATATACTAATAATAAATAAAACAAATAATCCCTTTATTATTAGTATATACTTATAAAAGTGTAATTGTCAATTTTAAATAAATAAAACAAATAATCCATTTATTTAAAATTGACAATTACACTTTTTATTTTACCATTTTCTACATATGTATACTATATATTATATTATTCCTATGAGTATGACAAAACAATCAGCATGTCATTTATTTTAAGTCTGTAATCTTGTTTTACAAATCAACATGTATTATTAGAATCAACTTTGACTTTAGTTGTTAATAAAATAAGTTCTAGTCATTTACTAGAGGTAAGTACAGGTTTTTATGATTGTTCTTTAGTAATAATATCTTAAGTAATTCTTGGATTGTAGTGCCAGAAAGTGTGTTTTTTCTTTGAGAAACCGAGGATTATATAATAATTCTCTTGTGGAATATTGTGATATG